GTGGAGGGTGGGCTGGCAGGAGGCAGCTGTGCAGACTGAGACAGAGGATGGGATGCTCCTGCCATAACTCAGGAAGAACTGTCAAGTTGCAGAGGGGACTTGGACTGGGCTGCCGAGGCAGTCAGCTCGTGGTGACCAGTGAGTGACACAGGCAGGGCCCTCCTCCTGGGGTGGCCAGAGGTGCTACTGAGATCCTAGTGGATCTTAGCACACGTGGAAGAGGGAGGAGGAGGGAGGAAAGGGCCCAGCGTCTGCTGCCCCTCACTCCCAGGGCCAGGCCCCCTGGCTCCTGTTTGCTGACTTCCCCAGGGGCCAGGACCACTCACCCTGCCACTGTGTCAGAGTCTCGAGTGGCCTTAGTAGGCTGGTGGTACAGAAGCATCTGGAAATGCCACTAGTATTTCTATTGGAATAGTGAATGCCCTGGGACCCTTTCAGGGGTCCTTCCTGCTTCCCTCTGCCTGACTCTCCCTACTGTCTGATTTGAAGGCAGAGGCCTATGTTCGTCCTGCCTAGGGGTCTCCTAGGTCTTAGAAGCTCCTCCCTCTCCCCACGGTATTTCCAGCAATCCCCCTTGTACCCAGGTGCCCCCACAATGTACCTTAGGGAAAAGAAAAGGACAATCAGAGGTCAGGGCAAGGCAGGCTGGAGTGGAGAGCCCCGGGCATGCCCTCCAGCATGTGAGGTCAGCTCAGAGAGGAAGGAGGAAGGGGGTCCTACGCTTGCACAGTCCCTCTGTACCCGCAGTCTTCAGCTGAGGGGGTCTCTGTGATCTTCGAGATGCCTTTGTTTGACTTTGAGTGTGGCTCCCAGGCTGCAGCACGTGGGATGACGCTCCTGCTGGACCCATCCAGGTCTCCGCGTCCTGCAGACTGCCCTTCATGCCCTCCTCGGCCTTCTCCCTGCTCCCCTCCTTCCTGATTCCCAGGCCTTGCTGTTCTAACCTTCCTCTGGTTCCTTGCTCCTTTTGAGCCAACTTGGCCAGCTTTCTGCTCCTTTAGTGCTGGGACCTGGCCTCTGCTTCCCTCCACCCCAGCCCCATCATTGTCTGCAGCTCCCCCTCCCTCCCTGGCTTTCCAAACTAGAGCCCTGCAGCTCCTGCTTTCTGCCTCCTCCCTGAGGTCAGCTGGTCATGATTTCCTGCTGTGCTGGGAGCTGCACTTAGAGACAAACACGGACCTGTCCTTGCCCTCAGCGCCCCAGGCCTGCCTCACCCTGACATTGCTTGCCATTTTCTTCTTTCTAAGGAACATTGTGGTGGCACCTGGCTGCAAGGGGCATTGCTGAAAAGATCCTGGGAGCAGATGTGGGCAACTCTCTTCTTCCTCTGCTCAGGGCCAGGGTACTCAGCTGCTGCTCCCCACAGCTTTCTGGTCATCAGTAAGGGTGGAACTGGATTCTGATCCCAGACTGTCAGGATCCCCCATCCCGAACCACAGCGATGAGAGTTATGGACACCTCCCAGCTTGCTGGACTTTACACATCGTCTGGGTGGCTTGGACTTGGTTTTGGGAACCACGAAGGGTTTCAGCAAAGGTGGATCTAATCCACTCCACCACAGGAGCCCCAGCTCCTAGTAGGTGCTCGGCACCTGCTTGTCACATGAATATTTCATGAGTGATCAGACTCCTTAGGTCCTGAGGTGGGATGGATTAGAGTGCTGGTAGCCTGGTGACAAAAGATGCTGTTAGAAGGGGCAGGAGAGAGCCCGACCAATCATTTTACACTTGTGGGTTATGTGTGTTTGCACATTGTCTCTACCCGGAAGTTTGAGGAGTGCTTGGATATCTGGGTAGAGGCTCAGAGCTGGCAGGCAGGGCCAAGGCAATTCCTGGCTGCTGTCCAGCCCCAGCTATGGGTGTCTGAGATCAGCCGGAAGGGCCTGAGTGGCAGTGCCTGTTTGAGCTGTTGAGAATGAGGGAAGGGACTGGGTGGAGCTCGAGCCTCTCCTCACCCCTTACCAGCTTTGGCCCATCTTAGTCACACTTGGAGGGCAGCCCAGGTTTGGGATGCCATCTGTGCCAGCTTCACAGGTGGTGTGAAGACCTCGGGCCACAGGAGCGCTGGGAGGAGCCACCTGTCCTCTGTAGATCAGGTAGGGAGTTACATGCACTGCCCAGGCCTTCTGGGACCCAGCAAGCTGCATTCAGTGAAGAGGGCAGGAATGTGGGGTCCTAGCTGCTGTTTTAACGAAGAAAGGGGCCCTTTGGGGCCAGCCCCGTGGCCATCTGTGAGTTGGACTGGGGACAGGCAGAAGCTGCCGTGCTGGCTGCCTGGGTGGTAGGAGGGGTGTCCAGGTTAGGACTGAAACTGTCCTCTCGTTACCAAGTTCACTCGGATACACCATGCCAGGCCTTTCTGCCCCTGCCACTCCATCCTGGGACTGCTTATGCTCCCCCCAGCCAGCGCACAGGCCACACATCTGGGCACAGTTGTCCCTGCCTGCCCTGGTCGAGAGTGTCCTGGCGCAATCTCCACCTGCCTCTCTGCCTGGCCCTGCAGGTCTTCCTGGTTCTCTGAAGGTCCCCAGACTCCTCCTTTGGCTGCAGACGCCTTTGAGCAGGCAGTGTTTGCCTCTGAGCAGCTCCTGTTGCTATATGCTCTAATGGGAAAAGCGCCCCAGAAGCCCGAAGTGGGGCTGCCAGGGGCTGCCCAAGGCCTCTGCTGCCAGCTGCTCAGCCAGGGTCAGGGGTGGGGTCTCCAGTTGTAGGAATGTGGCCTTCCACGTGGGTGGAGACCACTCCCCAGCACACATCACCAGACCCCCAGCCAGGCCCTGCCACAAAGCCGCCTGCCTTTCTTCCATCTGCAGAATCCACTCACTAGAGCTAGGAAGACAGGGCCAGGCTGGACCAGGCACTGGGCTGGCCAGGGACATTGGAGGCCAGCCGCAAATCCCCCATGGGGCACGGTGTGGCCGGCATTCAGGCAGAGTGCGGGCTGGGAGGGGCGGGGCAGGCAGCACCATCTGCGCCTTCCTTTGTGCCGGCAGCCCAGCGTCTCCTCGCTGCAATCGGGTGGGCCTCGTGCCTGGCATGCAAATGAGTTTCCAGATGCCCAGTGCCCCTGCACAAGAAGCCTAACGAGGGGCCTGGGAGAAGGGAGCGGTCTGGAGGCGCATTGCGGGCGGTTCCAGCTTCGGAACAGGCAGTGCCCTGCCAGTCACAGTAGATGTGTGCTGGACACCTGCTGTAGGAGCATTTGCCAGTTCCTGGGCACACACTGGGGGTGGAAGCACCTCTCCTTATGCCCTCCTCCCTCTTCAGGTGGCAGCCAGGTGACCCCACAGAGAGGGGGACAGGATGCAACCTTTAAGACAGCCCGCCCACTGCCCACCCCTGGGAAGAACGAGGTGCCCTCTAGGAGCCTGCAGCCCCAACTGCCTCTTCAGTCGGGCATCTTTGGGGGAGGGGTTGAGACAAGGTCTCGCTGTGTAGTTCAGGCTGGCCTTGAACTCGCTATGTAGCCCAAGCTGGCCTCAAACTCATGGTGATCATCCTGCCTCAGCTTGCCAAGTGCTGGGATTGCACCACCATGTCCAATTTTGCTTGGGCATCTTTGTGCCCTACCCAAAGCTTAGCCAATGTACCCAGTGGCCCTGGAGAGACCTCTTGGGGCTCCAGGCGGACAGGGACCCTGCAGCAGGATCTGCGTAGGATCTGAGTGGTCATTGTGAATTTTGGCATCTGACTGTAGTGCTGGCTGAGTGCGGTGAAGGGATGACTCAGGGCCCCTTACTGCATCCAAGGATCTGGGAGACCATGGCTACTTGAGGTGTTGCCTCCTGCAGGTTTCTGGCAGGCCCAGGGCACCACCTCAGTCTGTCTGTCTGTAGAATGGGGGCCATAGCAGCGAATGCCCGGGATTGTCAGGGCAGGTGTGGGCAAAGGAGAGCTGGAAATGGGGGCTCGGCTTTGCACCCAGCCGGGTGACTGAGCAGAGGCCCTCTGGCTGCCAGCTACGGCCAAGGCCCCCGGGTCAGTGTAGCTGAAGTTATCACAGCAGGAGTGTGGAGGAAGAGGAAGGCAGGGCCAGTGTTACCCTCTGTGCCCTTAAGCAAACCGAGGCCCAGAGAGGGTGTGTGAGCTCCCTAGAATGGCACAGCGGGGTGATGTTGGAGCCCCGTGTCCCACTTCCCTCCCCAGCCTCAGCACCATTGTGTACTTGGGAAGGCCGGCCCACTCTGGGATGGCGAAGGATGACAGAAAAGCACTCTTTCCCCAGCATCAGTTCACTGAAGGCTCTCCCCCACCCCTTCCCCTCTGCCCTCTGCTCTGGAAGCCTATTTTCCTCCCCAGCATTGGTGCCCAGCCATGCAGGCAGGGCCCAGCAGTGGGTATGACCAGAAGGTGTGTGCTTGTATCCTTGTGCTCTGTGGGGTGAATGCTGGCCAGGTATCACTGACTCCAGAAAGGCTGTGGATTTCGTGTTATTTTGTCTTTTTTCTTCTTCAGTACTGGAGATTGAACCCTGGGCCTTTGCACTGAGTTTATTTTTAGACAGAGTCATTCACTAAATTGCCCAGCATGGGCTCAAACTTGCAATCCTCCTGCCTCAGCCTCCCAGAGTGCTAGGTTTATAAGCATGTGCCACCACACCCGAGTAGATCTTATGATTTTTGACTGAACCCTGGGGGAGAAGCCATGTTGAGCTAACTTCTAAGTGCCAGAGGGCAGGCTCTGCCGAGTCTGGGGTGGCAGCGGTGCCCATCTGTGCCCTGACACAGGCCAGTGTGCCCTCCTGCCTCCCTCGGCTGCCCTCTTCTCCATTGTCTGGACTTCTCAGTGTGGTGGCCCATGATTTGAGTCCTCCTTCCGGAAGGCTTTAGTCCCATTCTGTAGTTGGAACATCCCAAGGAGGCCTAGTAAGTCTCCTGGTGTCCCCTGAATCTGGGGCCAAAGCTGGCGGCAAGGATATCTCACGAGGGGAGGGGTGCAAGGGGCTGAGCATGGCAGGGCACGGCCACCGTGGTGCCACTGATGTCGTGTCCTTCCTCACAGCGCTGCTGTCCTCCTGGTGTGAGGAACTCGGCCGCCTGCTGCTGCTGCGACATCAGAAGAGCCGCCAGAGCGACCCCCCTGGGAAACTCCCCATGCAGCCCCCCCTCAATTCCATGAGCTCCATGAAACCCACTCTGTCGCACAGGTGAGTGAGCATGTGCCACCGAGGGTGGGCAGGGCCGTGCACCTAGGAGCAGACAGCCCTGCACACAGAAACTGCAGCCCTGAGGGTCTTGCGTAAATCATCGTGTTGAGAGACATTTTCCGCCATCAAAGCAGGTAGAGAGCCTCAGGGACCACCTGACTGCTTTATCCTTCCCTGAAGGCCTCTTCGGTCTCTGGTTCTAGGCTTCTGGGGAGCACTAGAAGTCCTGAACTTGGGGCGTTCCCTCTGCGGAGCAGGGTCTCCGGCTGACCCAGGAGCAGGGCCAGGCAGGTGGCTTCACCCCAAGTGGGTACAGAGCCACTCGGGTCCATAACACAGAGCCAAGCAAGGCTGGGCGGGGTCTGCCAGAGGCTGACTGAGACAGGCACTGAGGAATTGGTTGCTGTGCCCTGCGCCAGCCCCCAAGGACCACGTGGCTGGGGCTGGTGATTCCCCAAGTTAATTATCTTGAGGGTCCCTTGCCGCACCCAACTCTCCCTCAGAGCACCAGGCAGGCTGACCTCGGAACTACAGGGCCTGTCATGCTGTCTGCCCTCCCTGTCCCAGTCCCCGCTAATGACCAGGTGCGGCATTTGCAGTCAGGGCTCAGCTCTTACTATCCAGCCCGACCGACCGAGGGACCCACAGCCCCGAGCATGCTGCAGCCAACTGCCGAGGCACCAGGAGCACTCAGGTAGCGGCCACACTTCATAAAGCAAATTAGAGGCTGGTGCTCTGCCAGGGCAGGATCACCCTGACACGTGGTTTCTTGCCTCGTCACAAGCCCCTTGGGCCACAAGCGCCCCCCCCCACCGCCCACGGTTGCCGCCTTGCTGGACCCTGGGTCTGGCGGCAGACGGTGAAGCTGCCTCTCTGTGTGGCAGTGTAGCCTGAGGGCTGGCATCTGGCCAGCTGGTTTTCTGTGGTGTGGGATTTTGCAGGTTATTTAGGTTGTGCCTTCCTGATTTTTTTTTAATTAATTTTATTGGTACATTTTAGGTATACAATTCATTTACATCTATCACTGGGTGTTTGTACCTGTACATGGTATATCTTGGTTCTTACTTTTTTTCCCCATTACCTTCTTGATTTTTTGACCTCCCCTTCCCTCCTCTGCCAGGTACCGTAACAGCAAAAGCACCCTCACAATTTGGGGGACTGAGGGACTCCTCCTTGGTTGGGAGCCACTGCTCTAGACAGCACCTCCTGCCTCCAGCCCCTGCCCGGTCAGCTAAAAGCTGCAGGGTGAGCCCAGCTGCTGAGCACAGGCTATGGCCGAACAGTGGTCTGAGCACTAGACTTAGCGGTTGTACTGCTGACACTGGAGCTGAGTAGTTCTGGCCTAGCCACCCGTCAGAGTCATCCTGGCTCTCATCACACTGCGTATTGTGTCCTCCCCAGCCTCTCTCCTCCTCGTCAGTCCAGTCCAGCTGATGGCAGTGATGGGCCAGAGCCCTGCCGCTCCCCACTCCACACCTGGCTCAGCTGCAGAGTGCACACATCTGGACCACGGGCCTTTGCCGAGATTGGGCGGGAGATTCCTGGTCCTGGGGTAAAGTGGAGATGAGGAGTCTCAGCTGCAGGAGCTGAATCTCACCATCAGGAGACATAATACTCACGGGGCAGAATAGGGATCCAGACAGACCAAGGCAGCGTTAGTTAGGTGACAGACTGAGTTCAGTGGACAGCAGTGCAGAGCAGTTGGCCTGGGAGGCCCATCTGGCATTTACCTCTGGCTGTGGGTGGTCTCCAAGAAAGGAGACCTGGGCGGGCTCTCGGGCTTGATGGTGACCTCTCGGCCCCAGGAGCACAGTGAGGCACAGGCCTTCTGGACAGCACCCTCTCCTGGTGGCAGAACTGGAAGGGAAGCCGGGCACAAAATGGGAAAGTGACTTGTCCCAGAACACAGAACCAGCAGAGGGCAGAGCATGGCATGCTGCTGGTCATTCAGTCAAGGGGCTCTGTCTGGCCATTAACCTGATTTGGAGCAGCTTCCTGGAGAGCATCACTTCACCCCCTAAATCCACAGTGCACCCTGTTTCCCATTGATAGGGGCATTTGGGAGTGAAGATCTGTCATCAGTACCCCACCCATTCTCCCTGTCCAGGGCTCATGACCCTGTTCTCAGAACCTCATGAATGTCCCCAGGGTGGAAACCCCTCATTCCCAAGGAACCCAGCAGGGCCATCACCTTTTAAGCCCCCAGTGTAATTTCTGAAATGTGAAGGGAAGACATGGAAGAGAGAGCTGGGCACTGTCACCGTTAGGAAACTGTCACTGTGGTCCTTTGCCTTTGTATTAAGGTGGCACTGTGGGGCCAGGGGGAGGCTGGCTGTCTGAAGACCCAGGATCCTGTCTGCCGGCCCCGAGGACAAGCGGGGAGGGGAGGGAGCCAGGCAGCTCTGAAACTCAAAGGTCCACGCCGCCCCTAGACCTGGAGGGTCCTTGGTGACTGTAGTATCCCGTGTGGTCACTGTCACATCCACTGCAGGCCCCAGGGGTTTGGTGCCACAGCAGGAGGCTGAGTCAGGCCAGAGTTCTTCCACCCAGAGCCACACCTCCAGGTGAGGCCCTGGGTCTCTCTGAGCGCTGCAGTTCCCCTGTAAGGAACGTGGTGGAGGACATAGTACAGGGAGGGCCAGCAATTTCTGAGTGTGGCTGTGCTGTAGGGATCGTGAGTTGTCAGTGTCTTCCTGAGCCCCCCTCACCTCTGGTCATGGTGGAGACACACTTGAGACCAGAGAGCCCAGGAGAGGCCTGTGAGGTCCCGGCCACTGGCCAGACACAGGACGCCGGCGGTCCCTGCAGGGACCTGGACTGGATGCCAACAGCTCTTGCTGTCTCCCCCTTCAGGCTTCTAATGAGTGGTTAAAAGTCATGTGTGATCAGCACATTGTCCATATGCAAGTCAGTGTTGTAAAGGTAATTAGGAGCCTAATAAATCTCGATTATGCTGTTACTCTGATTACAGTCAAAGCCCGCTGGAGCTGCGGAAGGCCTAGGATCATGGGTGCCATCTTCCTCTTCCAGGTGTGGGGTTTGGGTGCCCACAGGAGCAATCCCTGGGGTGCAGCAGGTGGGGGCGCAGGCCTGGAGTTTCAGTGCTGGCCTCTTCTAGCTGGATGCACCTCCATGTCCACATCTGTAGAAGGGGAATGTCAGCGGTGGCAGGACGCATGTCACCACGCCTGGCAGACGGGCTAGTCCTTGCTCCCCTGCCCCTTCTCCTGGTAGCATCCAGCCTGACGTGCTCCTCCACAGCCAGTCGACCCAGAAGGATCAGTCAAATCTGACTCCTTCTTTCTTTGGTTATATCGCCTCATCGTCACAGCTGTCATTGATTTCAGCTCTTTTCATAGCTAAACCAAAGCTCAGTCTATAGTAGGCCCTTCATCCCCCAGAAAAAAATTTTTATTTCCCCTGCGGTACTGGGGATGGAACTCAGAACCTTGGTGCTTGTGAGGCAGCCGCCCTGCCACTGAGCTAAATCCCTAGTCCCCCTAGAAAAAAAAATTTGAAAGCATGGAAAGGAGGGCCAGGGATTTACCTCAGTGGTTCCACGCGCCTGCCTCACAAGCGCAAGGTCCGGAGTTCGATCCCCGGTACCCAAAAAAAAAAAAAGAAAAAAAAGCGTGGAAAGGAGAATTGAGAGACCAATAGATCACATTGCTGCTAAGAGGCAAGGCCACGACTTCCCCTCCTCCATCCTGTAGGAAAATAGTGCAAAGAGTGCTAAAGGAAGAAAGGAACAGGCCCCTTGGCTTGGCTTAGAGAAAACCATAAAAGGGAGCATGCAGACCTGGCTTTTAGATATAGGTAGGAGTTCGCTGGTGAGAGAAGGGAAGGTAGAATACCAAGGAATGCCTCCAAGGCTTAGATTCCTTTTTGTTGGCAGGCAGGAAGGATACGAGTCCCTCCGTTGGTAACATATTTACAAAACTTCGAAGTACATGGGGACTGGGCAGAGGCAGCACATTGGTGGGGCTGACCACTGTTGGAGGCCTGCGGGCTCGGAGCCTTCATGGTGACAGCAGAGCCACCTCCCCGCTACCAGATGAGTCACAGCCACAGTGGTGCAGCTGCCACTTCTGCTTCTGCAGCAGGTGTGAGTGGAGGCCTGCAGCCACCCTGCACCAGTGCACCATCCTTTTCCAGCTTGCGCACAGCACACACCACCACCATGCGCCTTTGCTCTGGGGAACCCATCTTCCGGCCAGGCAAGGGTTACCACTTGGGGAACACTGCAGAACGCTGCTTCTCACCAAGTTGGGTGTAGAGTGGGGGAAACAGGAAGGAGCTGGTTTCCATCCATGGAGCGGGGCAGGTAGGTGGGTATTAAAACAGCGTACCCACAATGTGGTAGGGCAGCAGTGGCCCCGGCTCTCAGGAGGGCAACTTCCTGAGCCTGGCCAGTCACGATCTCAAAGGATAGAAACATCCGCTTGCACCGGATGTTGTCCTAAAGAGTTGCAGGAGCTGCAGTACAGGAGTTATGGGGAAGACAGCCCCAGGCCTGGGGCCACTGAAGGCTCAGCTACCTACCTGGGGAACAGAGGTTCTCATGGCCCAGTCTCCGGGGTGCAGGTCCACCTTCCCCTGCTGCTCTATTCTGCTCTTCACAGGCTTCTGGCCCCCAACCTGCCACCTTGGGTAGAGACCTATCGCTCTGTGCCAGTGCCGACATGTAAGGAACAACTCTCCTTGATCACTTGGTGTCTGGGTCCCTCTTTTCCCCTTGTGCTGGTTCTTGCCAGGATGCTGCTGGTTGCAGCCTGTGGAGCAGCAGTGTCATCCTTATGTCCACTTTACAGATGGGAAACCAAGCACAGATGCTTGCTCCAGGGCCCTGAGCTAGTGAGGCAGAGTTCAGATCTGCACCCCTGGGCAGCAGCTGCCTGGCAGGGCCCCAGGGCAGGATCAGAATGGGACAGAGTTGCTGTGGGAACCCTGAGGAGGCAGAGACCAGAAACCCTGAAACTCAGCCTCAAGGCCTGGACAGTGCAGCTTTGAGTTGGCTGGTGCTTCCTAGAGTGCAGGACTCTGTCCAGGGCCTGGCTATGGGTGAGTGCCTTTGTCCACCAGCCCTGAAACCCACCGGGGCTTGCGGACCCACTGAGCCGAGGCAGGGGCTGTACTACACAAGCATCCTTGCTCCTGGCGCTTCTGGGCTGGTGGTAAACGAATGGATACCAATCAGATAATAATTCCAGCCATGGTCGCATGATCTCAAAGCCAGGTGAAGCACCACAGGTGGCTGTGGGTGGAGTGGAGGGCTCTTACACTTCTGGGTAGGGTACCTCCCCCGAAAGAGCCGACCTCAGGGCTGAGCCAGGAAGGAAGCAGGGCCAGCAGAGGTGAGTCTAGGGGAGAGGGCCGTCCAGCCAGGGAAGGAGTGGATGCAAGTGGTGACATGGCAGCCCTGCAGGCTGACCACCACCACAGGAGCCCTTCCAGCGGGACCAGCAGTGCCCTTAGCAATGTCTAGCTGACCTGGCTCCCTCTGCCTGCCTGTCACACGGGACTGTATCCTTCCCAAAGTCCCCATGCAGGTTCTCAGTGTGTGTGCCTAGAGGCATCCTGGCCTCTAGGACTGGGCAGCCTCTCTGATGGGTACAGCGGCCCCTCGAGTCCCATTCGTGTGCAGGACATGCGCATTGCGGGGCCTCACCTGCTCCAGGATACCCACAGCATGGCTGTTCCCCAGAGGTGGGCCCTGGGCCCCATGTCTGGGATTTGGTAGCCCTCACCCAGAGGGTGCCACAGGAGAGCCAGTGCCAGCTGTAGAATGGGGGCGACCTTGGCCCAGTGCTCTGGGGCTGGTACCAGGCAGGTCTCCGAGCTGCACCCCCTCCCGCCCTCGTAGCTGCTCAGAAAGTCCCATCAGATGCTCCCTGTAGGCCTGAGGGCAGGACCTGCAGCAGGTGACATCCCTGCTCCTGATGGCATGTTACCAAGCCAGGCAGGCACTGGTGGGCTGGGGAAGGGGATGGGGGGATATAGCAGCATTTGGTGGAGACTGGGCCAGGTGTCCAGGGTCAGCTGTGAGAAGATGGAGCTGAAGTGGAATGCAAGGGGCGAGGGGGGACTTGTCAAGCAGCAGGGTAACTCATTCTGTAGTGTGTATTTGGACTTTGCCTGGTAAGCACTGAAGGACTTGGATTGTACGGATTGGGTGTTTGAGGGGGATTCGCTCGGCACTGATATGCACAAGAGTTGGGGGGCACGGGTATGCCTGCCCCTATATGGTCACAGTCAGAAAGAAGGATAAGAGAGCCTTCATTCCGAAGGCCAGGTCAGCGGGGCTCTGAGCCTCCCAGCTGTGAGCGGGTGGATGGATAGGAACAGCTGAGACTCCCGGACACAGGTCCTTCCAGCTTTACTGAGTAGAGGCAGAGCAGTCCCCAGGGGAGGCAGTGCCACTTGGAGTCATGGTTGGAAAAGGGGCTCACATTGAGCCTCTGGGCATGCCGCTGCCTCCTTGTGTGGCCTATGGGCTCCAGGCCAAGGTGAGGCAGCCACGGGTGGCCCTGCAGCGATGTTACTTCTACACTCCTGTCACCGTGCAGGACGCACCTGTTCTGCATCAGGCACCCCAACCAGCCTGGGGCCCAGAGCTGCCTGGGATGGGGGCCACCAGGACTGGCTGGGAGCAGTGGGGGAGGGGCAGGCCATCTGAGCCGCCTGAGCCCTGCCACCAGCCCCTGACCATCTACTTCCGTCTCCTCTGCAGTGATGGGTCGTTCCCCTATGACTCTGTCCCTTGGCAGCAGAATACCAACCAGCCTCCCGGCTCCCTCTCTGTGGTCACCACGGTTTGGGGAGTGACCAACACATCCCAGAGCCAGGTAAGAGCCAGTTCTGCCCCAGCCACAGCCCCTTCCGGGGAGGAGCATCCTTCGTCCCCTGGGGCCCTAGGGTGGCTGTCCAGCTGGGAGACCTGCCTCAAGAGGGCCACAGCTGGGCCCCTGGGAACTGTTCCCTTCCTAGAACCTCCACCAGGGAATGCGTGTCATCTGACAGTGAGCAGGTTTCATCTCTAACCCTGTTTATTCTGGCTGGGTAATTGGGAGAACTTCCTGTGTGATTTTTGGCCTTGGGGCTCCAAAATTGGGGTCCTTGGCCCTGGTTGGCCTGGGTTAGATTTCAGCATAATGCTGTGACTTAATTTTGTGACGGTTCCAACAGCCCCCTGGTCCAGCTGCCTCTGCTCCTGTTGCTCCCTTCCTCTCCTCCACACATGCCCCTGACAGAAGGCCTCCCACCTGCCAGACTGCCTCTGGCTGCAGGCCACATGGAAGGCTCAGGGCTGACTGCCACCTTGGAGGGGCCATTGTGTATCTCCTGGCCTCAGGCTACTGAGGTCTGTGAACCAGGATCCTCTGCCTTGAGAGCCCAGCTCGGGGCTTCTGTGTGGCCACCCTCCAGCATGGGGCAAGCGTCTCAGCCCTGCACCAGGACAGCCTCCCTACCTCACGGAACTGGCCGGCCCTGGGGACCACACATACTGACCAGTGACCCCTGCTCCTGTCCTCCCCTCATCCTACCCAGGCTAAAGCTCTCAGGCTCTATGCACCCTGCACCCCAGCCTGCCCCTTGGAATCCCCTGTACACCCCAGGAACAATTCATGTCCCCTGGTTTGCTCTCCGTAGTCCTTCCGAGTCAGCATCCTCCCACCCCTTCTCCATTCCTCCCTTTCTCTCCTCACCACCCTGGGTCCCAGCTTGGCTGACAGCCGCTGTCTGCTCACAGGTCCTCGGGAACCCTATGGCCAATGCCAACAATCCTATGAATCCAGGCGGCAACCCCATGGCGTCGGGCATGACCACCAGCAACCCCGGCCTCAATTCTCCGCAGTTCGCTGGACAGCAGCAGCAGTTCTCAACCAAGGCTGGCCCAGCGCAGCCCTACATCCAGCAGGGCATGTATGGTCGGCCCAACTACCCTGGCAGCGGGGGCTTCGGGGCCAGGTGAGCAGCCTCCGTGCAGGTGGGGTTCCAGGAAAAGCCCCAGTTCCCTGCTTCCTGCCTGAGGTGTGCAGCGAGCGCTGCCAGCCTTACCTGGGTTGTCCCATCAGCACTCGGGCTGTTCTGGCAATATGCTACCTGTAAGGGTAGAAGGGCCATGAGGGTCTCACTCCTCACAGGGACCTTCTCTGCCTCGTGTCTTCATCAACTGGAAGACCCGAGAGTGGAGTGGGAATCGCTGGAGAGCAACTAGTTCAGCAGCCTAGGAAAAGCCCTGTGCCTTGCTGGTCCCTGCAGGAAGAGCAGAGAAGAGGCTGAAGTCCCCCAGCTTGGAAGGAAGAGGCAGGGAAGCCCAGGGAGGAGCTCGGGGGACATGAGACAGGGCAGACCAGGGCTGACAGAGGTGCCCACCTCTTGCTCTTCAGTGCGGAGGACCCGCACAGCCACAGGTTCGTGTCAGAGTCTGAAGTGCCTCCCTCCTCTCCCGCAGTTACCCTGGGGGTCCGAACGCGCCCGCAGGCATGGGCATCCCTCCGCACACCAGGCCGCCTGCAGACTTCACTCAGCCTGCAGCCGCCGCCGCAGCAGCTGCAGTAGCAGCAGCGGCAGCCACCGCCACAGCCACAGCCACGGCCACCGTGGCAGCCCTGCAGGAGACGCAGAACAAGGACATAAACCAGTATGGACCGGTAAGGGTTCCTGTGTCCCCGTCCAGCTTCGCCGGGCAGCCAGCCTGGGGGAGGAGCGAATGTGGGTGCTCGGGGCCACATGCACTGGGGAGCTGGAGTCGGGGTGCATGTGGGAATGTGTGGAGAGGGGAGCGTGGTCAGGTGCTCGTGCTCCACCTAGGTCAGTGGCTTGTGTCTGCATACAGGAATAAAGGTGGATGATGCTCAGTGGGTCCCTCCTCACCCAAGAGTGGGCTCCAAGTCTAAAGATAGCCTTGTGGCAGGGCGTGGTAGGGCACACCTGTAATCCCAACACTCAGGAGGCTGAGGCAGGAGGCTCACTGCGAGTTTGAGGCCAGTCTGGGCTACATAGTGAGTTCAAAGCCAGCCTGGGCTCCAGAGTGAGACCCTGCTCCCCTCCCCCCCAAAATAAAGGTAAAATAAAGGCCATTGTGCCATCTGTGGGCTCTGCTCAGACCCCCAGCCCAGCTCCCCTGACCACCAGAAGGATAGGGTGGGGTATGAGGGGACGGGGCGCCCCATAGCCATGCAGGACAAAGGGTGTGGGGTGCTGGCCAGGTAGGCAGAAAGGAAAGGACTGGGCACAGGGTGTCTTGGTTGGCTGAGGGCAGGGCCAGGGCTTCAGCCTCCATCCTCATCCGCCTGCACCCTCCAGTGTCCCTCCCCACCCCTTATCCCTTCCTGTCCCCTGCCTGCCACCCTGGAAATGCTGCCTGTGCATTGGAGTGACTGCACCCTGCCCACCCGTAACACCCCCAGCTGCATCTTTCCCGTGTGGCCAGGAGAGGGCAGCAGAGGATGGGGCCTGGTCCCCCCTGCAGCCCCACGGGAAAGTGCCCCCTTCCCTCAGTCCCCACCCTTCCCTCCCTGCACTTTCAATGCATGTGGCATTTTATTCTTTTTTTTTTCTTCTTCTCCCGTTGAAGGTCTGTTCCTCTTTCCAGATGGGTCCCACCCAGGCGTATAACAGCCAATTCATGAACCAGCCCGGGCCGAGGGGCCCTGCCTCCATGGCGGGCAGCATGAACCCCGCCAACATGGCGGCTGGCATGACGCCCTCGGGGATGAGCGGCCCTCCCATGGGCATGAACCAGCCCCGGCCGCCTGGCATCAGCCCCTTTGGCACACACGGGCAGCGGATGCCCCAGCAGACTTACCCGGGCCCCCGGCCCCAGTCCCTTCCTATCCAGAGCATAAAGAGGCCGTACCCGGGAGAGGTGAGTTGGTGGCAGACGTGGGGCGTGGGGCTTGGAGACCGACTGTGGGCAGACCTGAGTCAGAAGGCCGGACCTGGCTCTACCCTGGCCCACCCAGAGTATGGGAACCGACACTAGCTACCTGGGCGACTTTGGGTGAGGAGCTAAAACCCGAGAGTCTCACAGGGAGGCTTCCCCAGCTGCCCTGCAAAGTGGAGCTGAAGCTAGGTGTGGCGGCAAATGGCTGTAACCTCAGCACTCTGGAAGCCTGAGTCAGGAGGATTGCAAGTTTGAGCCCAAGCTCAGTGACTTAGTGAGACCCTGACTCAAAATTTTAAAAGGGCTGGGGAAGTAACTCAGTGTGAAGGTCCTGGGTTCACCACAATACTGCAAAAATAAGTAAGTAAATAAATAATTCAAATAAAAGAGTAGGAACTCTGCCATGTGAATAAAGTGCAAGCGTGTCAGGGAGCGGATTGGACAGGCAGTGTGGGCCGTGGGGACCAACCATCCCCATCTATTACCATTTTACAAGGGATGGCACCACCTCTCGGGCTGCCCAGCCAGCTCACTGAGGTGTTGGGGAAGATGGGGGAGGAAAGGCCTCACTCCTGCCTTACAGCTGGGCCGAAAGAGGAAATAGTTCAAAGCAGGAACCAGAGGGAGTGCAGGGGGTGTGGCCCAGCAGGCTGCAGGGAACTCAGCATGAGGTCAGAGGAGGAAAGGATTGTCACCTGGCCTGCAGGCACAGTCAGAAAACAACTGGAGCTGCTGGTCCATCTAGATACCCAAGTAAGGGACCCAGAATCCTGACCCAGCAGACGTACCCAGCCCCAGGAGGCCCATCTTGACTGCTCACCCGGCCCCCTGCCCACACCCCTTAGGTCACTTCCTCTGTCTGCTCCCAGACCGAGGCCTCAGCTTGGACTTGCAGTGAGTTTCCATCCGAAAGTAGGAAGAGCCATGAATGTCCGTTCAGGTCCTACCCAGCAGGCCTGAGCATGCTGGGTGGGCGCCACCTAGTGGAGGTGGCCTGTGACCAGGAGGGGAGAGACTCAAGTGGGGCAAAAACATCCAGGACGCTCGGTCAGGCCCTGACTTTGGCCCTAGTTGGCACCACTAAAGTCCCCTCCAAGGTCCTGCTTGTGCTTGGGGGAACCTCATGCAGCTGGCTTCACTCCCAGTGCACAGCCACACATAGCTCCTGTGGACCCTCTTCCAGACCCCCCAGGAGCCCCACTACCTGTGCTGGGGTCACATCTGGGAACCCAGCCTTGGAGCCACCAGCCCCAAGGGAAGTGATCTCACTGGAGGCCAAAGCAGTCCTCCAGCCATCAGCTCTGCACCAGCACGGAGCCCTACGCCCCCCAAGGTCTGCCATAATGCCTCTCCTGGTCCCTGATGCCAGATTCTCCCTATCTGGAGCACAGTCGTCACCTGCTGGACCCCTGAGCCTGGAGGACAAGAGACTCCAGGGTCAGCAGACAGGAGGAAGAAACCAGTGACTCCATGGCACGTCACATCCCGGTGTCTGAGATGCAGGTGGCCCTGAGCATTGGCTGATAGACAGGGAAGGTGGCAGAGGTGGCACTCATTGTCCTGTCCCTTCACCAGCCACTTCTCCCGGCCTCTGCATGGACGGGAGGTTGACGATGGCCAGGAGCTGAGCGCTGGGCCTGTTCTGCTCAGTGTGGGGTTCAGGGACAGTGCCACCCAGGGCCAGCCTGAGAATGTGGAGGCGTTCCCTTTCTGGAAGTGCATCCTGTGGCCCGCATGCCCGTCACACTGGGAAACAGCCCTGAAGCGCTAAGAAGGACACAAAGGAAACTTAAGCACTGAGCCTCCTCTCTGTGGCCTGATTTGAGAAGCTCAGAAGGTGTCTCCAAGTTCCCAGACCACGGTGGCTTCGTGGTGAGGTGGCCTATGCTCTGGACAGGCAGAATGTCATGTCCCTGGATGTCACAGCAGCAAGGGTCCTGGGCATCCTATGGTCTAGCATCTCCCCTGTACAGGCAGGGAGGGTATTTGGGGTCAGAGACAACAGCTTTCCTCTGCAACATGATGACCTTTTCCCTGTCCTTTTTGCCACCACAGCCCAGCTATGGAAACCAGCAATACGGACCAAACAGCCAGTTCCCCACCCAGCCAGGCCAGTACCCCACCCCGAACCCCCCAAGGCCGCTCACATCTCCAAACTATCCCGGGCAAAGGATGCCAAGCCAACCCAGCACCGGGCAGTACCCGCCCCCCACGGTCAACATGGGGCAGTATTACAAGGTGAGTCCGCCCTGGGCCCCCGGCCTCCCTGCCACTCAGGCTCCATCTCATCGTGTCATTCTGACCCTGCCTGTGTTTCCTAGCGACACCAAGGGCCAGGGGAAGACATCTGGTTTTCCCCGTGTGCTCAGAGCTAAGTGGCCAGAAAGTCGGCCACTCAGTTCCTGTTCTCATGGGTCCTGGAGGATGGTTTCCCTTCTCTTTACCCAAGATAACAGGCAAGGAAACACTGCCAAAGAAAAAGCAAACACCCTCAATATGTTACATATGATTCTAAGCTTTGTCTCTACATACAGATGGGCACCTACATATAAAACTTACACAGCTACAGTTGTGAATCTGGGTTTTGTTTTTTTGTGGGGTTTTTTCACCTAACCTAAATTCATATGCCTGGCATATATTTTGCAGTGTCCCTGTCACTTTCATTTTCATTGCTGCTTATTATTCTCCGGAAACAACATCTTAGTTTCCCATTCTGTGAGATATTTGAATTGTTCCTGATTTTTCACTCTTTTTTGGTGTGGGGGGCCGGTTACTGGGGATCAAACTCAGGACCTTGCCCTTGTGAGGCAGGCGTGGTGCCACGAGCTAAATCCCCAGACCAGATTTTTCACTTTTGAGATAGTACTTTGATAAATATCTCCAGGCATCTAGCCTTTTCCTGCAGGTTTGCTCTCAGGAATAAAGAAGGAGCTGGATGTAGTGGTGCACACTTGTAATCCCAGTACTTGGGAAGCTGAGACAAAAGGATCCATGCAAATTCGAGGCCTGCCTGAGCTACATAGTTAGTTCAAGGCCAGCCTGGACTCTGGAGACATAGCAGACATATTTCTGGAGACATAACAGGACTCTGTCTCAAATGAAAATACTAAGAGAAGTGAAGATGTTTCATTATTTTACTTGCCAAGGGATCCCCGCTAGCCTGTATGACCATCTGCCACATGGCTTTACAAGTTTTGCTCCATAGTCAGAATGCTAGGTGTTACCGGTTTCTTTTTGCTAAAGTAATAGCTATGGACAGAGGCAGGCAGAAAGTTGTCCTCAAAGGGTGACCTGCTCAACCCTTCCGATTCCCACCCTGGCTGTTTATCCAGCGGATCTCAGCATCAGGAGGGAATCGGGCTGCAGGGGCTTCCTGCTCCCTTCCCAGCGCCGCCTGTCTTGTCTTAACAGCCAGAGCAGTTTAATGGACAAAGCAACACCTTCTCGGGCAGCAGCTACAGCAACTACAGCCAGGGCGGTGTCAACAGGGTACGTCCCTCCCCACGGTGCACCAGCAGTCGGGCCTCTCTCTTTCTGTCTCAGCTCCTTTGGATACCCGTGGGTGTCCATGGGTGGGGTGGTCTTCCCGCCTGTCCACTCCGGGTAACAGATGCCACAGCTCGGGGAGGGGGGCTGGAGGACAAGTGTGGACTGAGGCCTGAGAGAGGAGAGGGGGTCGTGGCCTTTGGCCATGATACAGGGAGCCTGCCTGGCTTGGTCCAGCTCTCCTGTCCTCCCAGGTGGCTCAGGCAAGTCCCCCACCACCCTGGACCTGGAAGTCTGCATCCACCCACCCTGCAGCGTGCACCCACATGGGGATGGGGGTCCTCCCTGGGCCAGCTGGCCTTCCACGCAGAAGTCAAGGCCTGCAGGAGAGAGTGGTTTTCCCCTGGAGAAAGTGGGGTGTGCATTCATAGCCATAGGCCCTTCCATCCCTGTGACCCTGTAACCTATTTGTGGTTTCTCTTTCCTCCAGCCTCCCAGGCCGGTTCCTGTGGCCAATTACCCCCACTCACCTGTTCCAGGGAACCCCACGCCTCCCATGACCCCTGGGAGCAGCATCCCCCCCTACCTGTCCCCCAGCCAAGATGTCAAACCACCCTTCCCGCCCGACATCAAGCCAAATATGAGCGCTCTGCCACCACCCCCAGGTAAGGGCCCCGGCCCCACCCTCCCTCTTCAGCCAGGAGCCGGGGGGCTTGGAAGTTGGGCTAGGTGGGGGAGGGGGCAGAAAGGGCAGGGGGCCTGAGAGCAGGGAGCCAGTGGCGGAAGAAGGGGGCGTGGCCAGGTGGACTTGAAGGGGCCCCTAGTGTGCATGGGCACAGCCTGGCTTCTGTGTCTCTGGGTCCCGGGTCTGTCCCCCTGAGCGTGCAGCCTTTGGCACGTGGCTCATCCATGCCCTATCCCCAGCCAACCACAATGACGAGCTGAGGCTCACATTCCCCGTGCGGGATGGCGTGGTGCTGGAGCCCTTCCGCCTGGAGCACAACTTGGCCGTCAGCAACCACGTGTTTCATCTGCGGCCCACGGTGCACCAGACACTGATGTGGAGGTGAGTGTGGACCCCTGACCCCCGCTTCACTGCTGCTCTGGGCTGGGTGTGGCTTTGCACTGGAAGTGGCAGCAGCCTCCTGTCACCTGCCCTGGAAACCCACAGGTACAGGGAGGGATCGAGGCCAAGACAGCCTGGCCCGAGGGCTGGGAACTGCCATCACTTGGCCCAGACCTGCGTTTTGGGGGACTTGCCCTAGGCAGAGGCGCCAGCTTGGCTGCAAGGCTGAGAAGCAGGGCATCCCAGGAGAGGTCCTGAGCTGGCAAGAGGGAAAAGCGGTGAAGAATTTGAACCTAGCTCTCATGTGTAGACACAAGGCTGGCAAGGGTGGTAGGGCTGGGCCAGAAGGTCTGGGTAGGGTCTGGGGTCCCCTCCTGGCCTGGGCCCTGCCACAATCGTGGAGGCAGACAGTGCTTTCGCCTTTGACAAACGGAGAAGCTGAGGCTAGACAAGGAATTGGAGGTGATTCTCTCAGCTGCCAAACACAGAGCAGAGACGGGGCCCGGTCTCTTGGATGCCAGCACCAACATGCGGTGTCTCCCTGCTGAGTCCTCTGTTCTCGAGCAAGGCTCCCTGACACTCACCCCATGCCTGGAACTAGAGTCGTCCCCCGTCCCCGCGTGGCCCCCCCCCGCCCCGCCCCCCCGCTCAGTGGGCTCCCTGAAGTCTGGATTCACTCTTCTCTGGCCCGGGCACACTCATGCAGCACTCTGTCACAGACTCACACCTCGGAGCCAGCCCTGTGGGGTGCCAGGGACTCAGAGCTGGGAAGGTATTCAGGACACAGGATGCTTAAGCTGGGGGACTTCCGGCAGAGGATAGAACTAGGCTGGGGTGCTGCTGGCCCACGTGCCTTATCTGGGGTCCCCTGGCCGGGAGAGGCTGCTGCCCCCACGGTTGTGGAGATGGAGACTCAGCCTCACAGCGATCTTTTGTCTCTCTGTCTGTGTCCTGGGGAAGCAGACTCACCCTGGCAGTGGAAGGACAGGGGAGGTTGCAGCCAGAGCCAGGGCTGGAGTAAGGGTGTTAGGTTTTGAACCCGTGTGGGAAGATGAAGCAGGGGCACGGGTGTGGGGGGCTTACAGCAGACCTGAGCCCTGCCCCACATCCCACGTGCCCCCCAGGTCTGACCTGGAGCTGCAGTTCAAGTGCTATCACCATGAGGACCGGCAGATGAACACCAATTGGCCGGCCTCGGTGCAGGTCAGCGTCAATGCGACGCCCCTCACCATCGAGCGCGGGGACAACAAGACCTCCCACAAGCCGCTGCACCTCAAGCACGTGTGCCAGCCGGGCCGCAACACCATCCAGATCACGGTTACTGCCTGCTGCTGCGTGAGTATGGCAGTCACAGGGGCAAGACACACACAAGGCCCTCAGGTCAAGGGCTGCTTTACTGCTCAGGCCCCAGCCTCCCAGTAGCCACCCCCATCTTTCATTGGTGGAGCCCCGTGTCCTTCAAAGCTTCGGTCAGCCCTCCCCTCATTTGCATGTGATTTTCATACTCTAACCACATTTACCCCCAGACAGGCCACTGCTAAACCCAGGGTTAGTTCTCTCCCTTTGTCACCCAGCCCAGTTGTCTCAGAGGAGTGTGTGCACATGTCCCTCCCACCCAGGACTCTGGTCTTGGGCAGTTAATCTTGTCCCTGGAGGTCAGGCGCTGGCACACAGGACTTCCTTTGGAAACTTGCATGGAAATGAATTGCATGGCCACTCGAGGGAGGACCCAAGATAATGCTCTGGTCTTGCCCTTTTCAGCATAGGGCCACTGAGGTTGCGGTGACAGAAGTCACCGGAACAGGGATGTTCAAGGCTGGGCAGCTCCCTGAGTGAAGCCAGGTTGGGTGGTTGGGGTGCAGTCCTGGACAGCTTCCTGGAGGAGCAGGGGGAAGGGCTGAATATGCAGGACAGGCACAGTGGTGCGGGAGGATGGGAAGCCCGCTGGGCTACAGTCCTGGTCTGAGTGTCCCATAGCCACATCCACTTTTCATCCTGCCGTCCCAGGGAGGTGACCTCAGCCCAGGGTCCCCAGCTTTTAGAGCTCTCTCTTCCAGGTCCTGGAGGAACCTCTCCTAGAGAGGACTTTGGGGACTTTCAGGCCTGGGAGCAGCCCAGGCCATGGAGCTGTGGGTGGGCCAGGTGACACAGCAGGCAGGGACAAGCAGTGTCACTGTCTTCCGCAGTCACACTTGTTCGTGCTGCAGCTGGTGCACCGGCCCTCTGTGCGCTCGGTGCTGCAGGGCCTGCTGAAGAAGCGCCTCCTGCCGGCAGAGCACTGCATCACAAAAAGTGAGTCAGTCGTGTGGTGCGTGGGAGCCAGAGGTGACTTGCCCCCGGGGGCACCGTGCCATCACCCCCACCCTGATTCAGCTTCTGCCCTCGCACCCCGAATCCCACCAGGCAGTTGTCGTTTCCCATTCCCACACCCGCAGAATTGAGAGCAGAAGCTACAGAAGGGACTTTTCGCTGACCCAGTAAATCAGAGATGTGCCAGGCTAGGTTTCTGCCAGCTTTGCAGAATCCTCAGTTCCTAACACAGGCAGAGGCAGGACCTGTTCTGCAGAGCTGTGAGCCCCTGCTCAGCCTGCCAGTTCCACACTTGGAGGAGGGGAGCTAGGGCTTGCCTAGGAGCACACGCAGTGGAGACCACTCTCAGGACTGCCCCGCCCTCCTCATTTGCCTGTGCCCCTGCCCCCCAGTCAAGCGGAACTTCAGCAGCGTGGCAGCCTCGTCGGGCAACACAACCCTGAACGGGGAGGATGGCGTGGAGCAGACGGCCATCAAGGTGTCCCTGAAGTGCCCCATCACATTCCGGCGTATCCAGCTGCCTGCTCGAGGCCATGATTGCAAGCATGTCCAGGTGAGGGGTGCAGGACCAGCTCCTTGGAGTCTGGCAGGGATGGCAGGGGTGGGACCTGTCTCCAGCCTCCCGAGATGTGGTCAGCAGCTGATGTCACTTCTACTGTCATCTGTCTCTGCATCTCAGGGCTGGGGTCCTTACTCTGGCGGATGGTAGGCACCAGCTAGAAATCCCACCCAGCTCCTACAGCTGCATTCAGGACCAGAGGGCAGGCCCGCCTCTGCCTAGTATGCCACTGTGACCAGGGCTTTGCCCTCATCGGGTGCCCAGGACGGGCTGTGGTACAAGTGACTATCACAGTCCTGGAAGTCTGTGACAGAGCTCAGGAAAATAGGCACAACCCATGATGGGAGAGATTTATTGTGTGGCGGCTGCTCAGGAAGTTCTCCCAGAAAGGGTGTCCAAGGAGCCATCCCTGCACAGATGGGTGTGAGCATGCAGAGTTTCCCTCGACTATCACCCTCAGCCCCTCTGTGGGGCACAGCTGGTCCTGAGCCTCCCCCGCTCTGAAAGAAGCACTACAAGGGTGGTGCAGTCCCTTTATTTATCTGACACAGATGAATGGCCTTGCAGTTTGTCCTTGGTGCCTGGGCTGGCCAAGGGGGTGGCCAGAGTCCATGCTGCCAGTGGGCTCAGTGAGAGAGGCCGTTGAGGGACAAAACAGCGAGAGGCAGCTGGGGAGGGGGCCAGGAAGGCTGCTCAGAGGACGTAAGCATAGGGTCATGTGGCCCGCAGTGGTGTGATCTGGTTCACTGTGAGCAGCACGGGGGAGGCATAGCCTTTTGTCTCAGTTATATTCTCATCTCTGGGACACAGTACCTGACACCCATAACTTAGCGGAGAAGTTTATTTTGGCTCACACTTCAGAAGTTGCAGTCCATGTTCAGCAGGTTTAAAAACAGAACCGATGTGGCAGAGAGCATAGTGGAGGAAAAGCTGCTTGCACCATGGTGACCAGGAAGCACACAGACAAGGGAGGAAGGAGCTGGAGAGGGAGATACCTTAGACCCTTCCAGGCCACGCCCCAGGAACGTGGCTCTTCCGACCAGACCCCACCTCCTTACAACTCAGCTATGGGCGTCTATGATTCAGTCACCTTCCCAGAAGCCCCACCTAGGAGCTCATGGGGCTTTAAGGGGACAATTTAGATGTAAAGCACCTTTGTTCTACCCTCTGCCTGTCTTCTTGCCTGGTGGGAAAATCTTCCCAAGGGTCTCCGAGGTGTGGTGAGGCAGCTTCTGAATCTCACCTGTCTCTCTGTCTCTGGCCTCTGCAGTGCTTTGACCTGGAGTCGTACTTGCAGCTGAATTGCGAGAGAGGGACCTGGAGGTGTCCTGTGTGCAAGTGAGTGGTGCCATTGCTTGGGGCTTTGCCACCTGGCCTTCCTCTGGGCCTTCACTTTGGCCTCTACCTGCCCTAAAATCAAAACAGCTGAAGACCTGGCAGAGGAGTTCTGGGTGCCCTGCTGTGTGGCTGTCACAGAGCTGCCCTCTCTGTTCCTCAGTAGTACCAGCAGCAGAGCAGGCTCTCGTGGCCACAGGAGGGAGGGTGGACTGTGCCCCTACCTCCTCGAGTCTAAGACCTAAGGCCAAACCCCCTCTCTTCCAGTAAAACTGCTCTGCTGGAGGGGCTGGAGGTAGATCAGTACATGTGGGGGATCCTGAACGCCATCCAACAGTAAGTGGGGCCCTGCTGGATTGGAGGGGAGAGGGAAGGGTACAGCAGCCCTGACCACACCTCCCACTGCCTACCACTGTACCTTGGCGATTCTGAGGGCACTGAGCATTCCGGAAGGGACAGGACTCAGCCAGACAGGATACCAGCATTGCCCAAAGCAGCCCTTGGGTTTTCCCAGCTGCCAGGCTCTGCACTGGGCATGGTGTGGAGAACCAGGCCAGGGGCCTGGTGTGGGCTTCTGTCTCCAAAGGCAGGCACCCCAGCACCTCAGCCAGGGCCTTTTCCTCCCCTAGCTCCGAGTTTGAAGAGGTCACCATCGACCCCACATGCAGCTGGCGGCCAGTGCCCATCAAGTCGGACCTGCACATCAAGGATGACCCTGATGGCATCCCCTCCAAGCGGTTCAAGACCATGAGCCCCAGCCAGATGATCATGCCCAACGTCATGGAGATGATTGCAGCCCTGGGCCCCGGCCCATCCCCGTACCCGCTCCCGCCTCCCCCCGGGGGCACGAACTCCAGTGACTACAGCAGCCAAGGTGGGTGATGGAGGGACACAGAGGCAGCCCCGAGTCCACAGGGCACAGGGTTTCTATGCCAAGTGACCTTGAGGAGGTCACCTGTCTTTGTATAGTACTCCTGAAGTTTCCCATCAGCAAAGTAGCAGATGAAATTCCCTTAAACAAGCTGGGAGAGGGGATGCTCGGGCAACTTAGTGAATTAAGCAAGACCCTGTCTCAAATTTTTAAAAAATTAAATTAAATTTTAAAAGGGGCTGAACGAGGGTGTGTGTCACTTAGTGCAGAGGTCCTGGGTTCAGTCCCCAGTACTAGGGAAAAAAGTTGGGGAGAATGGAGAGTCAGAGGTGACATACCCCCAGAAGAACAACCCTCGAGTCTTTAGACCTGGGGCAACAGCAGCCTGTGCCAGGGCCTTCAGGGCCTGCTCTGCTAGCTGAGATAGCTGAGTCCACCTGCATTTTTCTGTGACATCTCTAATTGTCCCTGTTCCTCCAGGGATCCCAGCCTTGACCACCCAGGTCACCATTTTTGACTCCTTGCTGCTCAGACCAAGCTTCACTCTCATGCCACTTGCTTCCTAGAATATCCCCCACCCGACACTGAGGGTGGCACCTCCCTGCCGGTACCCTAGTCTCATGTCCCCAGGGCTCCCACTTGATGAGCAAGCAGCCCAGTGACATTAGTGCACCTCACTGGAGTCCCACCGCATGCCCAGACCTCAGCGTCCCACCACTGACCCCGAGTCTTGTCATTGCTGTGTGGTAGAGGGCAGTGGGTGGAGAGGTTGGACCGATGTCCCTTGGCTAGGTCATCTTGACCCTGGTTCCACTTTCTCTGTGGACTTAGCAGAAGACCCTGTGGGCCTGAGTCCCCTTTAGGAAACATGACCTCAGGGGAAGAGCCCAGCAGCTCCTGTCCAGGTGCAGACTTGGGCCTCGATCTGTGTCCTGCCCCATGGGAGCTGGCATCCCCTCTCTGCACTCTGCCCCTCCGACCTCCACAGGAGCAGAACATGTGCACCAGGACCCCCTGGCCCACGGGCCGAGGTCACCACGTGGTGTGTCCTGCAGCCTCTAGAGAGAAAGAGCCTGGCTTTGAGCTCTGACCCTGTTCCCCGGGGGTGGCCACCTCCCCCTGGGTAACCCTTGTCCCCATCTTGTTCCCTCCCCAGGCAACAACTACCAGGGCCATGGCAACTTTGACTTCCCCCATGGGAACCCCAGCGGGACGTCCATGAATGACTTCATGCACGGGCCTCCCCAGCTCTCCCACCCCCCAGACATGCCCAACACCATGGCCGCCCTCGAGAAGCCCCTCAGTCACCCCATGCAGGAAACTGTGAGTACCGCCTCCTCCCACCATGTCCCCACTGTCCCCTCACTGCCCCCCCCCCGCCCCCAGCCTCCATCAGGGGCTGGCTGGGGCAGAAGGCTCTCCCGTTTCCCTTTCCAGCAAAGGGGAAGACGTAAGAATTGGGTCTGGGGCTCAGAAGTGAGTGAGGGGTCTGGTGTGCTCTGTGAGCATCCGTGAGCTTGGTTGTTTTGTTCAGGACTTTCGATTCTCCAGAGATGGAGAGGCTCCAGGCTCCTCCCCACACACATGTGACAGACACACACACATGCACACCACCACCATACTGCACTCCACCTCCCCTCACACACTCTTACATGGTACACGGGATTCCGGCCGCACAGGACTTTACCTAGCAGCAGTGACAGGAGCTGGCTGTTGTCTGAGTCCCTATTAGCACGGGTTGGACCCTTCCTGTCTATTTAGTAAATGTTTTCTGAGCCATGCCCTAGGTTCATTTGTGCCAGGTATGAGCGAGACAGAGGGCTTGTGCTCACAGACACCAGCTCTGAAGGGGTGTGGGTGGAGGGAGAATAGTTAAAAGAGTTCTGGGAAAACTGAGGGCCAACGGCTGAACTCGCTTGTCAGAGGCCTCAGTCATTCTGCACTCTACACTCTCTTCAGGGGCAAGGGCAGTTGTTGAAGACCATACCAGCCAGAGAGAGGAGCCAGGGTCTCCCCAGGGCCAGGCAGCGCTTCAGAAGCCCTGAATGGGAAGGATCACACCGGCTCCCACACCTTCTGTTGCATGGCAGGAAAGGAAGGGGCACCTGGCTTGTGCTGCTCCTGGCCCTGCCTTCCCCTCATTCTCAGCGAGGGGGCCATTAACTCTGCCCCATGGAGCTTCCAGCTGCGGGGACTGGGGGCTTCTCCTTTCTCAGCCCTGCTCCCCGGGACCCTGGCACTGCATATTCAGGAATCACTCATGTGCATAAACACACATCCCAAGCCCTCATGGACCGTAATCCTGGAAGGTGGCAGTGGGAAGGTCATCCGCTTCCACTTCCCCGCCTGGCTTTTTCCTGCCTTCTGGTAGCACTGCTGCCAGGGCTCTGTTCAGGGAACGTGGGCCTGTAGGTTGATGCTCCCCACTGTGCCCCGTCCTTCCGCTCAGTAGAAGGCAACCAGACCGAGAAGTACAGCTATGCCCAGTGGGGAGGGGCAGTCAGTCAAGCAGGCAGTTGGGAGGGGTCCCTGTGCATTTCTGGCCTGGCTGGAAGACTCCAGCAGTGATGACCTACACCCTCCAAGCCCTGAGATATTCCCACCCCTACCAAGGTCGAGGGCTGAGTCCTAAGACCAGGGCCCGTCTGTCCTGAGCTGGGCACTGTGAGGCATCTGGAAGGCTGAGAAGAGTTTCGGAGATGCGAACAGGAGCTGGCAGCCTCCTTCCTCAGCCTTCTCCTGTGTCTTCCCCCACACAGTTCCCCCATCCCAACCCCATAGTTGTGCGACCTCCCTAATTACTAAGACCAGGGCTGGAAGCACACTGTGCTGTTGGGTGTCACATTGGAATGGGGCCCTGCACCCTGAGAAGAAGCCGCCTGGACTGTGGCAGAGGCCAACCCATGGAGGGCCTAGGGAGCTGCTTGCAGCAGAAAGGAAGAGGAGCTGGGGTGGCCTGGCTGCTGGGCTTACAAACCCACAAAGGAGGAACTCAGAAATGTTTTCTGTGCGGCCAGATGATGGGGCGGGGTGAGGGGACCAGAAGCCTGGCCGAGGGCTACCGGGGCTGGGGCCCCTTCGGGCAGCTCTGAGTGAGTGAGGGCTTTCGGATGTCCACCTGCAGAAACTCCCAGGGAGAGCTCACTGGGGACAGCAGCCAGACACGGGGCATATTCACATCTCCCCACCCTTCACTGCCTGCCCACGGCTGCAGATTGTCTAGTGGGTGTGCTGTAGGGCTGGGACACCACCAGCCCCAGCAGGGCGTCCCCTTGTGCCCCGTTAGGAGGAAGAGCCACTGTGTGCTGAGATGGCCTGGTCACCCAGTTCCTGCCCTGCTCTGTCCCCTTGACATCACCCAGGTTCCCTCCTAGGCAGCCGGCCATGGTGCGTGGTCTCGGTGCCCAGCCTCAGCCCCTATCCGGGGCCACTTGGGGGCACAGTCCCAGTCCTGAGCTGCATGCCTGCCCTGTGCTGTGTGTCTGCATCTGCTCTGTGCTGCCCCAGCCCTCGAGGGCCTGCACACGCTGCCGGCAGCACCCACCGCCTCGCCGGGCCCCAGAATGTGCCCATTTGGCTTCTCCATCCTGCCCTCGCTGTTGTTTGTTGTGGTGACAGTGTTGGGATGGGGAGCAGAGGGCCTCAGAAGCGCCCATCTCGAAGCCCTTCTGGCTCCACTGCCTTCTCCACAGCCTCCCTGATCAGCAGCAGTTTTCAGGGAGGATAGATTCTGTTTTTCTGCCAAAAAAAGAAAAGCCAGATGTGGTGGCACACGCGTGTAATCCCAGCCTCAGGAGGCCGAGGCAGGATCAGTTCAAGACCAGCCTAAATACGTAGTGAGACCCTGTCTCAAAAAAAAAAAAAAAGCGACAACCACCATTCAGCTAAAGGGGCAGCTTTGTTTTGGGGTTCGTGATCTCCCCGGTTTGTTGGTTTTCATTTTCTCCAGGCATCTCGTCGCTGTACCTCGTCACCTCACCTCTCTTCTCTCCTGCTCTCTCCTCCTCCAGATGCCCCACGCTGGCAGTTCTGACCAGCCCCATCCCTCCATACAACAAGGTTTGCACGTACCACACCCCAGCAGCCAGTCAGGGCCTCCATTACATCACAGTGGGGCTCCTCCTCCTCCTCCTCCTCCTCCTTCCCAGCCTCCCCGGCAGCCGCCACAGGCCGCTCCCAGCAACCATCCACACAGCGACCTGACCTTTAACCCCTCCTCAGCCTTAGAGGGTCAGGCCGGAGCGCAGGGAGCGTCCGACATGCCGGAGCCTTCACTGGATGTAAGTTGGGGTCACACTGTGCGCCTTGGCCTGGGGCCAGGCCTGGCACCAGGACCTGCCCGAGAGAAGGGGGGGTGTTGAGGGCACAAGGCCCCCGGTGGGGAAGCCGGGTGGGTGACGGGTGGGCCCCAGCCAGCCCCCCCTGGCTCCAGCACCAGGAAGCCCCTTGTGGGGCTGTGTCCCTGAGGGTCCCTGCCCACAGGCCCCTTGGCTACAGTCCGGTTCCCAGCCCTGCCCCATCCACCCAGGCCCTGGCAGCATCCTTTGGGGCTCTGAAGGCGGCCTGGAGGGTTCCTTTCCTCTTTCCCAGCCTCGTCCTCACCCACCCCGTGTTGAGCTTGCTGTCTGTGTATCTGCCCCTCTCCGGCCCTAGGCCAGGGCGGCACTGGGCAAGACAGGGCCCCTCTGTCTGTCTTGCTGGTCTTGTCTGTCTGCAGTGTTTTGTCCACTTGTTGTCCATTCCCTGCTTCCGCTTGCTCCATCGCTCCCCGAAAGCGGCCCCTGTGTGGGGTGATGGGACGGGGTGGCGCAGTGGGATCGGCTTCAGGTCACAGTCTGGGTGGGAGCAGCTGAGGCTCAGGAGTCTCCTGCCTTTCGGTCTAACTGGTCAGGAAGGTGAGGGGCGCTGATTGAGTGGTTGGGGCTGGGCAGCTGGACAGGGCTGGCTGGGAGGGGACAGGACACCACTAAGGGCTGTGTTCTGCCGCTTGTGTCCCTCCCCTCCTGGCCCTCCTGTCAGAGTGCTTGGCACTTCCTCACTCGGCAGCCATGTTGGGTGCCCACCCAGCCCCCTCCAGGCCAGGCCAGTGGGAGGTTTTTGGATGCATGAGGCCCCCTCACTTCATGAACATAAAGACTCCAAGGAAGTCACAGGAAAGGGTAGAGGACAGTGGGCCAACCACAGCCTCCCCAAGGAGCTCTGGGGACAGATCCAGGGCTGGCCACTGAGTGTCCCCCTGGCCTCCCCACAGCCCCAGTCTTTGCACTCCCACGGGATGCCATGTGGCCTCTGCTGTGTGACCTGCAATTGCTCATGGCGGGTCTGAGAGGGCAGAGAAATGCTCTTAGCTGGGATTGGTGGCACACACCTCTAGTCCCAGCACTCGGAGACAGAGGCAGGAGGACCGAAAGTTAACTGAGTGACTTAGCACAAGACTCTATCAGAATTTTTAAATGGGCTGGGATATAGCTCAGTGCAAAGGCCCTGGGTCCAATTTCTGGTACCAAATAAATAAATAAATGCAGGCTCCTGCTCAGCTCCGCACTGGTGGGCTGAAAGCTCCTCTGTCCCAGGCTTGAAGTGAGTATGGGTCTTGCCCCAAGGAGGCAAGGTGGCCCAGGGCCTGGGAGACAGGTGGCAGAGAAGGGCACAGGCTGCAGGACTCCTGCACCCGCCCCCCGTGACCCCCTCACAAGGACTCCTGACTTCCTCTTTTGCAGCTCCTGCCAGAACTCACCAATCCTGATGAGCTCCTTTCCTACCTGGACCCCCCTGACCTTCCGAGCAATAGCAATGACGACCTCCTATCTCTCTTTGAGAACAACTGAAAGCACCCCCATCAGCGTCATCCCTCCTACTCTGTCTCCTGCCCTGTCTGCCCCCCACACTTGCCCCCTGGGAGCCTGCGCCTCAGGCCGCCCCTCTCCGGGACCACAGGCTGGGCGTGGCTGGGGAAGGCTGTGTGGGACCGCAGCCAGCGCCCCCCTGAACACCCTGGGCCAGGGCTCACGGCCAGAGCAGGCCCTGAAGACGACCCGCTGAGGGGGCACAGCCCAGCGAGAGGTAGCTGACATTTTGGTGCCCCCAAGGTTCTTCCATTTTCTAAATTGGAGCCCTGCTCCCTGCTTCCTGGCCCAGAGCCTCCTTCAAGTGACAAGCCTGAGAGAGGGACCTTGGAGGAGCAGTGACAGTTGGCTGCAGTGAGACTGGCTGCCCACCACAGAAAAGCACAAACCCCTGGGAAGGAAAGAGAAATCTCTGGGCCAAGGGCTGTGGCTCTGGCCCCCAACCTCTAAGCCAAGAGATGCCCTGTGAACGCTCCCTCAGAAGGCAGAGAGAGGACACGGTTCTGTATCTGAGGGAGGGGCTGCCATTCCTGCTGGGGACTGGTGGGAAAGGGGGGTCATTGAAGGGCTCTGGCTCAGGAAACCCAGAGCAGGGCCCAGCCTTGAGGGGCAGAGAGAGTGTGCATGTGCATCCAGCTAGAGTGATTGTACCCTGGGCTGGGGACCATGGGGGATGTCACCAGACACTCACAACTTCACCCCAGGCCACTTGGTATTTGGTGACAGCTCTGGAGGACAGGAACGTCGCACTTGGACAGCAAGCAATCAGTTTCCCTTCCTGCATTGTTTCCCACCACCCACCCACTCTGCAAGACTTTCATGGGACATCCGTTCCCCTCCATGTCCTCTGTCCTGCTGGGTGGCCGCAGTGCAGCAGAGAGGCAGGGCCAGCACAGGACATGAGGCGTTGGTGGCAGAAGGAGCTCGGCACCCCCCCGTCTCTCCAGCCTCCCTGCCTGCCCATCTGTGCTCACTGTTGCATGCACCGCAGTGTTCCTGTGGCCACTCCCAGTGTCCCTGTGGCACCAGCCTCCCCCTCCTGAGCTCGCTTCACAAGAGCGAGCGGCCTCTGGTCTTCCTCCACTGCTTAACTCCATGCACTTCGGGGTCCCCAGGGAGCTGGTCCGTGTCCCCTGAGCCTCGGCCTGTAGTGATGCTAGGTTGTCCGGTCACTTGGGTCCCATCTGTAAGTTCTTTGCGCCCTTCCCTGCTGCCACCGCCCAGGGCTCTCTCCTTGCTGCCGTCCACTGTCGGTGTCCTCAGTCACCGTCACTCTCCCATCTCCCTCTGTATGGTGGGTGGTCCCCGGCACTCTTCTGTGGATCAAACCAGAAAGGTGGCCCCAGCTGTTGACTTGCAGTCACCGTACCAAGCGGCACAAGGTTTTCTGTAGGAGAGCTGCCATCACCCCGCCCCTTCTCTTCCTTTGTCCCTGTTGTCGTGGAGGTTTTTTCAAACAGTGTGTTGTTCAGTATGCAAATCACTTATTTTAAGAATCGCTTTTGTAAATATCTTTGTGAATATTTTAGTATTGTCTTTGATAATATTCGACATTTTCATGACCTGGTTATAGCCTTTGCTGGTGTTTTTAAAATACCTTGACTCAACAACAAAAACCGAGTCCTTTTTTTTAAAAAAACAAAAACAAAAAAAAGCAACCAGGGCTATTTGTACAGATGAGGGGCGAACAGAATGAGTGGCTTCATTGGAAGTTGGAAGACCAGGCAGCCCACTGTTGAGAGCCATCCCCAAATCAGCTGGTGGCTGTCCCTGCCCAGTGCCTGTGGCCTGGCAGGTGGCCACCCTCTGTTTCCGACCATCTGGAATGTTCAGCTGTAGACAAACTGACAAATGCCTTCTTTAGCAGCTCCTGCTTCCTGCCATGAGACTGCCCCAGAAAGACCTGGGGTCCCTGCTGGGTCTTGTCACAGTGTGCCCAGATCCTGCTCCCAGGCCTATCCTCAGCTTTCCAGTGCAGAGGTTCTAGCCGCTCACAGTAGTCCAGACTCCAGGCACCTCGCTGCCATCTCTGGGCTGGCACCTGAGGCTGGTTGCTTGGGTTCCCTCTCAAGCAAGCCTCCACCAGCAAGCTCATTACAGAGCTTCCCTTCCAGCCGGCTCCAATCCATGGTGCCTGCAGCCCTTGCTCTGGGACCAGAATGACAGGTGCTCAGCCAGGGTGTAAGGGACAGGCAGCAATCACTGAGGGCTAACTGGTCCCTGGGCAGTCACAGGTGCAGGTCAAGGCAGCAACATGGGCAGAGGCAGGCCCGAGCTCTGGAAAGATCCTTCCCTGATGTTTTCAGACAACGACTTGCAGCCATAAATGACCTCCGCAAAAACGAGGCCTCAGCAAGCCACCTTCCCATGACAAGCATCAGCCCACCCATGGCACGATTCTGCCGCCACTCCACAAGACAGACTGAGAGCCAGCGGGCAGGCGGAAGGGCCTGGAACAGGCAATCACCCCCATCTCCTTGGTTTGAAGCTTTACCATGTTCCCTGTAGCCATTTTATTTTTTAAGAAACTTCTAATACTTTCTCTCTGATGGAAGCCCTAACCCCCAGAGAGCTACAAGTCTGCTCCCAATGGGCCTTGGGCCCAACTGGTCCAGACAGGGCAGGTGAGCAGCAGCGACTCAAGGGACGTGTGTACATATGTAAATGAGAAATAGACCTGTCAACAAATGCATTCATTTCTCTCGGAATGTGTATTGTTTTTATTTTACGAAATAAAACAAAAAAAATGGCTTGGAACTCCATTTTAACGTGGAAAAACTAGATCCTGTTTGTTAGCGTTTGTGAGTTTTCCACCTCTGTCTCACTCATGTAATATACTCTGACCTGTGTGGAAAGGCAGTTCTGTTCTGTTTTTATTTTACCTACATGTACTATTTAGCTTCAGTGTACTTAGTCCTACCACCTGTGTATTTTTAGGGTGCTATGGAAATAATGAAAAGAAACGGGGATTTCAGAAGACAATTGTAACCAAATTCATACTTTGTATAATTTTTGATATCATGATCGCAGGTGATTCACACATATCCACATCCACACACCCACCAGTGCAGCCTGAAGTGATTCCCACAGACCATCATTGTCTTTGTACATCATATGTACAATGCAAAAATCATTTCATACTTTAAACTGCTCAGAAAACTAATTGTGATTTCTAGTCTTGCAAAGCTGTATGTAGTTAGATGATGTGACAACCTCTAATATTTATCTAATAAATATGTATTCAGATGAAACCTGTATATTAGGTGTTCATGTGGTTATTTTGTATTTAAAGATCAAATTATTTGACTATTGCTAGACATTTCTATACTCTTGTAACACTGAGGTATCTCATTTGCCCATGTTAATTTTTTTCTAAATAAATGGACAAAAATGAAGGTTTTGGTGAATTAGCTATTTTGTGGCTGTGAAGGAGCGGTCTGGGTGTTTTCTGCTTTTGTTTTTAAACCACCACCCCTGTCCCGTCATTGTGCACACACAGGAATGGAGTCTTTTGGAGTGATTTGGAAGACACCTGTCTGTTGTCCCTGCAGGAAGCCCTGGGCCCTGGGACGGGCCTCCTTCTGGAGGGACCCCATCTCCAGTGGGGCAAAGGGAATGGGTTGGACATGGGGCCTGAACAGGTCCAGATCATTCTGTGGTGCTGGGGACATGGATGACTAAGCTAGCTGATGGTGGTCTTGTCTCTGACAGTCCCTTGTGGATTAAGGAACAGAAACCTACGGATGTTGAACCACACTGGATACTGTCTTAAGCATCCAGGGATGAAGAATGGAGGCCCAGCCCGGCACACTAGCAAGTGAAGAGCTCATAGCTGCTCTCCCTATGGCCCAGGCCTCACTGTCTCCATCTGGAGACGGCTCCATATGGGGTCTTCTACCCAGGCTGCAGTTCTCTCCAGCCTTATAGCCTGAGCACCCAGCACAGACTACTTCTGGGTTTCCAATTGAAGTTTTGGGAGAGTGAATCTGGTTGACAGCAGCCCACCACTGCCCTTCTTCCACTTGGCCTGACCGCTTGGCCCTGACTACTTCGACAGCGGCTGGGCGGACACCCCAAATAATGTACCAACCTTGCTATCCGATAGGGGTCTTGGGGTTATTTCTAGGTTGTCGGTATCCTGAACACAGACTTGAGCAGAACATTCAAAAGGAGTAACTAGAGTGAGTTTAATTAAAGCAAGAGGTAAAGGTCCACTCCACAGGGTGGAAGTGGGCCAGTGAGAAAAGCTCAAGACCCTCATAGAGGCAGCACCGGGTCTCAGGGTCCTAGGATTATATTATTCGAGGATCCACAGTTGGGAATTGACGGGACCCACGGTCTCACAGGGTACATGACAGTTGGCGCTCCTGTCTTGGGGAGAGGGAGGGTTGACCATAAGATGTTTTTAGAGGAAATGTCATGGTGTCCAAAGCCCATGGGAATGGGGTCAAAACTGCAATGCAAATGAGGTTGGACAAGGTCGTGTATCTTGGGGTATGCACATGCTTGGGGGTTTTGGGGGAACAAGATGACCTTTATTGACCTGATGTTTTGACACAGTCCCATAGCATCTTGTTTGCATGTCCTTGCTCTACCTCTTGCTTCCCAAGACTCTGGAGGGTCCTTGGGCCGAGGCAATGGGATGACCTGTAGGGACTGGGTGCCAGGAAGTCCCCACCTCTGGGCCTGTGCTTGGGTGCCCAGAGTTTCTCCTGGGGGTTGGAAATGGAAGGGGAGGGGAGGGTTTATGTTACAAATGGGATCTTGGTCACTGCTGAGCCACAGGCACTGCCCTCTACTAGCACTGCCCAGCAGTGACTTCCTCCAAGCCGCCACACAGGGAAAGGGTGGTTAGCATAGCAGGGGAGCTCCCCAGACAGGCAAGCCCCACTGCCCATTGCCTTAGAGCAGTGACCCGGTCCAAGAAGCTGTAAAACCAGCATGGTGGGATGTGGCCAGTAGTTTTTGATGAATTAGTGGAAAATAGAATAGAAAATATCAGGATTATACTCTAACAGAGAGCAAGGATTGTATCAGGCAACTTCGGGGGTGCAGTGACCAGGCACTGAGTAATGATACAAGTTTTTTCTTGTGAGTTGAGGGGGTTTTTTGTTTTGTTTTGGAGGGTTTTTTTGGTACCAGGGATTGAACTTGGGTCCTTGCGCTTGCGAGGCAGGCGGCAGAACCACCGAGCTAAATCCCTGGCCCTGAATCTTGTGAGTTGTGGTTAAAAATAGTTTGAGGGCCGGGGATTTAGCTCAGTGGTTCCGCCACCTGCCTCGCAAGCGCAAGGACCCAAGTTCAATCCCCAGTACCAAAAAAAAAAAAAATTGTTTGAATGCCATTGCCTTAAAGCCAAGAAGTGGATGAAGTAGGACCAGGGAGGGAGGACAGTGTGCTCCCCAACTGCAGATCAAAACAAATCTTCCTGGTGTGTGAACTTGGCATCCTGAAACCAGGAACAGACACTACCCAATCCAGTCCTGTGGCAACCACGAGGCTGCACAGAGATCAGCTGGTCCAGCTCAGCTAACACCGAGAGGGTTCCTCCTGCTGCAGGCCTGTGTCTGGAATGACAAAGTTCCACCAAGAAAGCCCAGAGGAAGGCCTGGCCTGGAGAGGTTGGAGCTCAGCCTCCCCACACCCAGGGTTGCACACAAGAGTCATTCTGCCCAGCCCACCTCTCAAAGCCTCCAGGACTGCGGGGTGCCACTGGGGGAAATCATTCAGCCCCGCAGGTGAGCACCAAAATACAAGGTCTCCAGCTTCACTGAGTCCTCAGGACCTCCAAAAACTTAGTCCCTTTTGCCCATTTCCTCAGAATCTGCTGATCTGGTGTGTACACCTTAAATCCTCCTGACTCCCTTTTGGCTTCTCTTGTCTCTTTGAATACTATAACATTTCTGGCAACCACAAGGGACTGGAGATGACAGAATGCTGTCTCTTTTGCCTGCAGACCCGAGAGAGGCCCAAGCTGTGGTAAATTTGAGACCTTCAGCCTGGAGAGAGAATCAGCCCTCCCATAGCCCAGAATCTCCGCCCTGTCTGTGCAACAGAACCTGTTGGGATTCAGGACTATTCTGGGACAACAGTGTGCTACAGGACCACGGTGGAACCTGTCCCATTAGGACACAGGGGGGACTGATCATCTCCCTGGGTGTACCAAATACTCCGAATCAAGGGCAGTCAGACAAAACCTACAGCCCCAAGTGGAATGCAGGGGTGGCCCAAGGTGGGAATTGCTCTCTAACAACTTGAGGGACAGTCCCACAATGAGAGTGACTAGAAAAGGGGGGGTGACAAGTAGTTAGACTCAGAAGTCATACAAAACTCACACCCAGGTGTACTGAGTAGCTGGAGTCAAAGGGAGTTAGGCTAAACTTATACACAGGCTAAAAAAAATGAGATAAGAGAAATGTATTACTGTGTGTGAGTGAACAAAATAAAGTGTGTGAATTTGGCGGGTGTGAGAAAAGTATATAATTGTGTGTAAATGAGCAGAGTAGAGTGTATAAATCCAAGGTCACCTGTGCTCAGCTGGTGACTGGGGGAGGGAGGTGATCTAATCAGCCTAAAAACAAAAGTAATTGAGAGATTTATTTGCTCTGTGAAGGGAAAAGACATGAGAAAAGCTGCTTAGCTTCAGTGCACCTGGATATACAGGCAGAGCACTGCAAACAAGCTATTTAAAAAAAAAAACCACCCTGTGAAATGAGGTGATGATAGCAACCAGCCTGGATGGGGACCAAAACTAAGAGAATGTCTGAGCAACTGCCTGGTCTGGCGACTGGGCTGAGACCAGTCCCAAGGCGGAGAGATTTAGATCCAGCTGTGCCTACCAAGGTGAAAAGGACAAAACAAGGGCCATCCTTTTATTTCAAAGCACCAGAAAGCACAGAGTGAGACGATGCAAGGGACACTCCTGGCTTTAGGAGTCCCAAGGCCAATGCTTGCTGGGTCACCAGGCTGGCCTGGCAGCCTGAAGGTGTCTAAAAGCCAGAGCGGCCCCAGCATGGGGCTGACTGGTCAAAGCTAAACAACCGCGACTATGTCACGACCTGCAAAAAGAGGTTCTACAGGAGAAGTCACACTAAAAAGTTTAGCTGATTGATAGGTATACTTTTGGTTTCCAATTTGAGTTGATGTTCTTGTTTAATTGGTGTGCTTAAAACATCCCTTGTGTATTGCAAATTTTTGAATTGTAATTACAGGGTTAACTTGCTCTCCTCTCTGTCTCTGTTGACAAGAACACTAATTCAAGGTCACTTTGAGGTCTGTTGGCAGCCCGTCAAATTAAAAATGTAACAATCTAAAAACAGAGTTACAGAGAGAGAGAGAAAAAGAGAGAGACAGAAAGACTTTAAAATCTAAGCAGCTGCAGCTAAGTTTGTTATAGAAGGTTTATAGTAAATAAAACAGAGAAAAACATTTTAAAAGGCTATCAGCATAAAAAATATGATATGAGAAAATTTGATATGAAAAGATTTTATATGATAAAAGTTTTGTCCTGTTAAAAAGATAAAAAGAGAGATAATGACAAGACTGGAAACCTTATGAATGTCAAGAGAAAGCATGTGGAAATAATTTATAAAAAAATGTATGTTTGCTTGTTGGTTTGGTAAAAGCCCCTGCTGTTCCTTCCAAAAGCTCCTTGTTCCTCAAAAGACTCAAAAATATGTGTGGTTGACTGTTAATTTGATAGAGTTCAAGTTATCCCTATAACAAAAGTACTTGAGAAAATAATTTGCGTCAAAACAGAGTAGATATAAGAGAAAAGGCACCAAACCCCACCCCACTAGGATATATATTAAAGAACTTTTTAAAAAGGCTATTTGGAGGGCTATAGAGTAAAGCTGACCCCCCAAAGGTTAAAAACTCTTTATAAAATAAATTGACCCTTCTTTGATACAGGGTGACAAGCTGGGGTGAGGGGAAATGGCTGTATATGAAGAGTGATAACACTAGGGTGATAACTGGGAGTAAAGAATAACCGGGGCACCCACTCCCTTTAACCCAGGGGCAACTGAAAATCAGTGCATGGGAAATGTGGCTTTTGTGGGACAGGCACAGGGCAACATTAGGGAAAAATTACAAAAACTAGAGAGTTTTGCTGGCATAAATGCTCCTCAGCTCATAGAAGTGATCAGTAAGGTGTATGTTCACCGTGATCAGGAGACAAAACAGACAGCTGACCAGAGGCTTAAAAAAAGACAAACCTGCTGGCAGCAGCACTCTCAGAAAAAAAGATAGAAGACATAAAGAGACAAGGACAGGGGCCAGGGATGTAGCTCAGTGGTTCTGCTGCCTGCCTTGCAAGCACAAGGTCCTGAGTTCAATCTCTGGTACAAAAAAAAAAAAAAAAAAAAAAAATCAGCGTCTATGATGTAAGAGTTTG